GGTGGTAGGGGGGAGAGAAAGGGTGGTGGTGTTGGTGGTGGTAGGGGGGTAAAGGGTGGTGGTGCTGCACCTTTCCAAAATTTGTTGACTAAAAAAAAAAGGTCATCAAATCTTCGAAATTCCAAATTGGATCGTACACCACGAATTTTGGATCGTACAGGGCCTCAAATTATCGTACGAATGGGATCGCTGGTGAGGAGGCAGGAGGTCAAGCCATCGAATTCGGATGACGTCATCGCCGACGCTGTCGCCGGCGAGATAGCGCATCTGTCGAACAAGCTGCGACGGTGTCCGGTCCTCCATGGTCAACCCTGAGAAAAGCTTTTGAAGCCGCTGAACCGTAGTATCGCCGAAGCGAGCGAGGATCTGCGCTTTAAGATGCTCATACTTCCCGGTGGGGGGAGGGTGGTAGAGCACGTCTTCTATCTCTTCCCAAGTATCGATGTCCAACCTCGCTACAGTCGCATGATACCGATCGGAATCAGAACGAATACCATGGCAGAAGAAAAATGATTCCATTAGCAAGAACCACGTCTCCGGGTTTCAACGCGAAAAGCATGGCCAAGGGTAGTTGGACTGATGTCCGGCGTCGTCTGGAGCGGAGCTGATGGCGTTGGTGTGAGCAGGAACCACGGTGGTGAAGGCTGGTGCGACGGTCGGCGCCGTGATCGGTGCAGGAGCCGGTACTGGGGCCCGTTGACTAGCAAAGTCTTGCGTGGGCGGACTTCTCGCCGCAACCGCATCTGGCTGGCCGCCGGTAGCGTGCTGCGAAGCTTCGGATGGCCTGGTCGGCATCTTCTCGGAAAGAAAAGCACACACGAAGTAGGAAAAAGTCAAGGAGCGTACGTACGAGAGTGGTGCGAAAGGAACAAAAAACAAAATGGCTGCCGAAGACAGGACCACGACTTGAAAATGGCCGTTAGTCGATGCCACGAATCAAGATGGCCGTCGAAGACAAGACCACGACTTGAAAAATGGCCGTTAAACAGGGCCAAGTCAGGCAAGAGAAGATGGCCGACCAGTGGCGAAACCGAGCGAGCGAAGAGAAGTGAGAAAAAACACGTGGTCGAACTGGTTCCGGAGATCACGTCGGGGTCACCAGTGTGGGAAATCCAATGTCCGCGGGCCGAATGGCTAGTTACTGACCACCGTAACGACCAATGAGAAAGCCGGACACAACAAGGGATTTCACCTTTTTTATTTGCGATCTCTCAGAACAGATTTTATTCAACAAAATACAAATTTTATACACACACGCACAACGAGATACAGAATGATAAATTAATACGGAAGAGAGAGCAAGCGCAGTCGACTGATAAGCTTGGCGAGTAAAATTGAACTCCTGTCCAAAAATCCGTTGGATCGATGATCTCCGAGAAGCGAGGAGATGATCCGGGATGTTCGTTACTAGGCCCGACCAATCAGATTCCTAGGCGCAATTACGCCGCGAGTTCTGACCAATCGGCCGCCTCCACATCACGGTTTGGTTACAAAGCCGAGGCAGAAAGTGTCGCTGCAATACACGCGCAACCTCTAGTAGTTTTTTGGTACGTCTGCCGAACTTGGTGCTGGCAGCCGCGAGATGTCGGCACCGTCCTGGTGCAAGACATCGGAGTTACGGACAGTGCTGTCAGATCGTGGGTAAATCTTACCCTCTCCCTGTGCCACTGGGATTGCACACAATGAAAGTTTTCCATGTCCGTGTGTTTGGGATATCGAAAGAAGCCGAGTGGAACCGAAGTTGACCAAGTAAGCCGAAGTTACTATTACCCAATCCCAGTGGCACAGGGAGAGGGTAAGATTTACCCACGATCTGACAGTACTGGTTACGGATAGTCAACCATGGGGTGTCAGCACCGAGCAGGTTCATAAAAAAAACTCTCGTTTTGAGTAAAAAGTAAGGTTATTAAGATGATCTTATTTGACTATAAATAAATACATCAACAGTTTGTAATTCTTAAGATCGTCTTAAGCGATGACTATGAATATCTATCCAATTGCACATCTTGGCTAAGATCAAACTTTTAAGCATATCTTAAGATTGCGTCTATGAATGTAAACGATAGCTTAAGACCATGCTTAAGGCGGACTTTAGTATAAGAGCGCACCATCAATACGGCGGTCAGTTGATCACTAATATCTTATTGGTTGGTAGTTACACAAATAGGAAAAGACAATATAAAAGGATTTCTCTCCACTCCTTCTTAATCCTAACACCAAAGAGGAAGAACGTGTTTTATAATTAATTTAATCTACATCGCAATCTTATATTAAGGAATAAAGTCTCTTTTTTACCAAACCACGTGTCTTGGTTCATTATCAAAAATAGTAACTAAAACCTTATGTGGTGGAAAGTATAAGTTTTGATAAAATAGTGGCGCGCATTTGTCACAAATAAGTGACCAATGAAAATGCTCCTTCATAAAAGTTTCACAGTTACGGGAAATACGTAAAGCTTATTTTTCAAAGAAAATGGATGATCATCGCTTAACTGGAAATCAAGATCATTTCTGATGAAAAGAAGCTTGGCTGAGTCCGAGACAATGGTTCGAATTGTATACAGTGTGTTTAAACATGGATGGCATCATTTATTAATGTTCACTTTATCGTAACAATGCTAGAATGGATTTAGGAAATTTTCAAAACATTCTAGTTGCTTGGTTTTTATGCTGTAGCATTGGCTTTTGCTATGGTGAGTATAAAAACGTATAAATGATGTTTAAATTAATGTATATTCGAACAAACACAGCCAATTGTCACATACCAACACATACATGAATAATACAAAATAAATATATGTGTACATATATTTATATATATTTTTATAATCTGATATATATCTATAATAATGTTTTTTTACAGGCACACCCGTATTACTTTTTGCTACTAATAAAGATATAAGAATAGCTAATGCCTCACGATCAAATAAAGTTATTGTCAAAGATTTATCTGAAGGTGCTGCTCTGGATTTTTATTATGAACGTGGTTTAGTGTGTTGGTCCGATAGCGGTTTGGAAATGATACAATGTATTCATTCAAATGGTACATACACGGGTGAAAAAATGATTGTAGTAAATTCTAGTTTAATATCTCCTGATGGTTTGGCATGTGATTGGTTTACTGGTAAACTATATTGGACAGATGGAGAAAAAAATAGACTTGAAGTGACTAGTATCGATGGACTATATAGAAAAGTTCTTTTTTGGACTGATATTTATCAGCCTCGGGCAGTTGCTCTTGCACCTATGAAAAGTTTACTTTTTTGGACTGATTGGGGAGATGTACCAAAGATAGAAAGAGCATCAATGAATGGAGATCCAACTACTCGTGAAGTCATTGTTTCCGATGATATATTCTGGCCAAATGGACTTACAGTTGATTATGATAATGAGTTAATATTTTGGGCAGATGGTAGACTGAAATTTATTGCTGTTATGGATTATTATGGCAAAAATAGGCGAAAGATTATCAGCCAAGGATTAGAGTATCCATTTGCAGTTACGTATTTTGATAATCGACTTTATTGGACAGATTGGAAAACATGGTGTATACATGCACATGATGTTCGACAAATGCAAGGGCATCCTCGTGACTTATTCCGTGGAGAATATATACCAGGTGACATAGAAGTTTGGGATGCAAGAAGACAACCATACGCAGATCATCCATGCAGATTAAATAATGGTAATTGTTCTCATCTATGTTTGCTAAGCACAAAGGATCCTGGATATACATGTGCCTGTCCAACGGGTGTGAAACTTATAAATAATTTTACTTGTGCCGATAGACCGGAACAGTTGCTTCTTATAGTTCAAAGAAATGAGATTTGTAAAATATCTCTTGATTCTCCCGACTACACTAACTTTGTTTTACCATTGAGTAATATTAAACATGCAATTGCAGTAGATTTTGATCCAATAGATGAAATGTTATATTGGACAGATGAAGAAGTTTTTGCCATCAGAAGAGCTTATCTTGATGGATCAGGTCAAGAAAATGTTGTCACAGCAGAAGTAGCTAATCCAGATGGAATTGCTATTGATTGGTTAGCACGTAACTTGTATTGGACTGATACAGGTACTGATAGAATTCAAGTTGCCCGTTTAAATGGTACTAGCCGAAAAGTTCTTATTAATGAAGATCTGGTAGAGCCTAGAGCTATAGCTGTAGCTCCTGAACTTGGATGGATGTTCTGGACTGACTGGAATGAAAAACGACCAAAGATAGAACGCAGTAATTTGGATGGTACTGACAGAATAATTTTAATTACAAAAGATATTATTTGGCCAAATGGTATTGCATTAGATTATGAAAGAAAAAAATTTTATTGGTGTGATGCTAAAACGGACAAAATAGAAGTTTGCAATATGAATG